CCTCCAGGAGAGCTCTCGGACGACGACGAGGACGACGACGACGACCTCGATCTTAGCAACAAAGACGAGTTCTCGCACTACACGTTCGAGCAGAGGCAGCCATCACCGAAACGACTGGCGAGTCAGTTAGAAGTGAAACTCTCGCAGCTGAAGGAAGACAACGACGGAAGAAAAGACAAAGATGAGGACAAAGCAGGCGTGGACAACGAAAAGATCAATAAGAAAGCCAGCGAAACCCTGCCATCAGATAAGGACGATAACGATAAGCTATCAGTATCCAAACCGGAAACGAAGAACGAAAACCTCGAAAAGGAAAGATCTAAAACCCCTGAAATTACGAAGAAAGAAAACGAGAAAAACAAGAAAACGGAGGAGACGCAGGAAACTGTCGTGAAATCAAAGGACGGCGAGAAACCGGCCGGCGGTTTGCAGAAATGTAGCAGTACCGTGTTCCTGGACGACCCTAAGAAGGCCTACCAGGAGTACCAGAAGATGGTGAACGAAGCAATCAAGAAGAAGCAGGAGGAGAAGAAAGCTCTTGAGGAGAGAATCAGGGCAAGGCAAGAGGAGCTGGAGAGAGAGGCTTCTAAAGATTATGGCTGGAGAAAGACCAAAGACAAGAAGGACACAATGGAGACCAAGAAGACCTCCGCCACGAACTACCTGAAGACGAAGGAGACCGCTAACGTTGCTGATGAAAAACGTTCCCGTGGATCGAAATCGCCCGTGTCAGTGTACTCGAGCACGAAAGCAACAGACGAACAGCTGGATGATCACAAACAAGCCTACGAAGACTACAAGAGAAAGGTTAGTAAGTCGGAGAAAGATGCCAAGAAGAACGAAGACGCAGGGAAAGCGAAGCCCAGAGAGCCTCTCAGACGGCCGGAAATTATCGCACTTCAGAATGAGGAGCTGGGAGGAAGCACAGCCAGACAGAGGAAGAAATCCCTCTCTCGCCTGGACACCGGGGATTCCCTTTCGGATCGAAGTTCTCGTGGGTCGACGCCCAAATCACCGGGATTGGATGGCGCCACGTCCCCCAAGTATGACTTCGATCTGGAAGCTAGTCGGTCCAGGAGCTCAACGCCCACAAAACAGCTCAAGAAGCAGCCCTCGAGAGACGTCCCCCTCCAGGCTAAGAATAATGCCGATCAGGAGGAGCGTCCGGGAACACCTGTGAGGCAGAAACCGTCGCGCGATGTGCCGATGCCGTACATCACAGTGGAAGGAGAGGATAGATACTCCAGACCGAGAAGGGGATCCAGGGACATAACGCCAGACAGCCCCCTTCCACCACATCGCAAAATTTCTACAGAAGAACGACCGCCTTCCAGGGAGTCTCGACCTGGAACGCCACTGTCACATCGAAGACCCTCTAGAGATGTCAACATCAGCAGTGGTCAGCTGGATCGCCTTGTTCAAGCAAGTGGGTTGGACAGTCCAGAGTTAACAGCAGACCAACCGCAAATGTGGCCTGATCTGATTGTATGTCCACAAGGCCAAGATGATGAAGAGTGTCAGGACTACAAGGATTCTTTGGATGTCCCCATTGCAACCTTGATGAAAAGTCCAAGTGGGACACTACGTCAGGTTCCAGAAGTAACGATTCTGCAGACAGACAAAAGCAATACCTCAGAAAGTAAGAATCTCGACTCTGAGGGTAATTCTAGCGACCCAACTTATGTTCCAAGTAACAAGCTTGTGGCCTGGATCCTTGATATTGGCAACGTTCAGAATCAGCGCCAGGCTCCCTTCTCCACCTCTGACCGTGTGTCTCAGTGGGAGGGAAAGGAACCCTCGCCCAAACCAGGTGATAGATCCCCAAGAGAGAAGTCGCCAAGACTCAGAACCAGATCGCCTGTTCCAAGCGATAAACACAGAGACAAATCTCCCGCACAGCCTCGAACACCCTTCTTGTGTCCACTGTCACGAGAGCCTTCTTCAGTAAGTCTAAAGAGCTCAGGGTCTTCTGAGAATGCTTGCATCCAGACGCCCTGGGGAGAGCTCAAGCGGTCGCCCTCTCGAAGCACACTCTCGAAATCACCGTCCTTTGAGGTTCCTTCTAACAAGGCAAAGGATGGCACTGATCCTGGAAATGGAGGCTTTGATGACCACATGTCTGTTGGAAGTTCAACGAGATCCCCATCACCACGTTCGTATTCAAAGTTCCATAAACAAGACTCTATGGAAATTCCAGAGAGGAAAGACTCCCTTACTTCCCCAAGGTTAACAGGCGAACTGCCTCCAAAACCTCCAGAAAAGGCGCAGAGAAGCTCAAAAGAGGAAAACCTGAACATCAGAAGCCAAGCCAAGAAGGACGACTGGAAGAGTGCTACTCTGCCTAGACAGGCGAAGCTAGCCAAGCAGGGATCCACGGACAGCCTTAAGAATTATTCAACAGAAAAGAGGTCGTCTCTCATGTCCGTAGAGGCAGGCAACACGGACAGCCTGAAGAGAAAGAGCAAGTTTCCTCCCTCCCCCAACCAGAAGCGGAAGTTGGGCAGTTGCCTCCTTTTCTCGGCCCAGGATCGAATATCACAGTTCGAAAACAAACAGCCCTCAAGCAGGCCTCCCCAGCGGGCAATCACTCGCACGCGCAGTAGCATGGTGTTCACCTCAACCGCACAAGAGAATGGGTTGGAAAACCGATTATCCTGTGATGTGAACAAGAATGCCCTCACCTCATCCCTAAACTCGTCTTACACCCCCAGTAAGTCATGTAATAACACTCACGTAGAGTTTCTCAGGGGTAGGCTCTTAGGTAAGACTACCAAGACTACAGGACTACCGCCGGGGTTAATTCAAAATGTAGATTCGGTTAATAACAACAATAAGCGTTTTAGCATTGGCTATGCCAGACGTGACAGTATAGGGTATGGCAATTATTAGACAGGCCTGACGAGAATGGAAAAGAATGTCACTAGAAACAAGCGGAATAATAAATGCATTATGTGACGTCAGTTCTATGACGCGCTAGTGTAAGATGAAATCAGCACATGAGGTGACGTTAAAGGGCCCTGCAATCACCCTGTGGGTGAGCAGAATGCATAAATCCTGTGTTTTTACATTAACTTTAAGCAGAATAAATTTTGTGATATAATAAATCGAAAATTCAGCAGTAAAGACACCGGTGAATCCAATCAGTAAGAAAGAAAAAAATTACCCGATGCTCAGGTTGAACTAAAGAAGAATTCGGTATTCCTCTCACTCCTGATGTTTCGCGAGTCTGCCTCCTGTAGCTCTTCTGATTTATCAACTATTCTCTAGTCATCTTGCTTGTTCAAGTAGTTACAGATAGCCTAGGAGCTTGTGTAGTTCATTTGCTATTTCTCCTGCCAACTTCTTAATTCTCGATGCTACCGTCTGTAGTGAACGGCTTTTATAGGTACCGGGTAAAGTCTTGTAGAAAATTGAGTCCTGTATCTTATAAACTAGTAGTAGTAGACTTTGTTGTGCAATGCAGTCACAGTATTCTGTAGGCAGTAACCGTAAGTGGTTGTAATTTGTAAAGTAAAAGAATTATAAATATTTTTCTCCCTCGGCATGGTCCGGTTAAACTTAACTGTTGCGGTGTAATGTTCTAGCGTTTGTACTGCCGCTTGGTAGTGTAAATGTATCATGTTAGATGCTATTATATATATATATATAACTTGGTTTTGATAGAGCTGGACTCTTATAGATATTAGTATCTCTTTTCTTATCATAATTTTTCTGCGGTATCGCTCCAAGCAAGGATCGTATTTTTTTCTAGATGTTTTCAGGTATATTCAAGGAAATATACCTGTAGGTAAAGTTTTTTTTTTCTCATAGTATGTCTCAGTAAGTTGTTACATAAATATATAACGCTCCCCTAAAGAACTTCTATACTAAAGTTCCCTCAACTTTTTCTCTTATTTTTCTCCACTTCATATTTTTCCTCCTCTGTAAGGTAGATGCTTTTGTTGATGCCTCTTCCCTCATGTATTTTTTCTCTATTGATTAGTTCTTGCACATGCCACTCTCGCCACTTGGAGGTACTTCCCTCCATGCTATGCTGTCGAAGTCTGTGGTATGCATATGGGTTAAAGAGTTCAACTGATCTTTTCTTGTTTTTAAGTGCACCTTTAAAAATCCTATGCGTGTCCATAGCATATCCAGATTTCTTCATCGTGCATCCACAAGCATGTATTCATGCATGACCTTATTTCTGTCTCCCTTTCCCCCCTTTCTCCCTGATCACAGCTCGTCGTCCTCCTCCCGTTGGTCCACAGCGTTCCCCGACCTTCACCTACTAGTTCTCCAACCCTGCTGCTGCCCATTTTAAGGTTGCTGCTCCTGGCGGTCACCCAATGGCACCCTCACCAGTGCCCCAAAAACCTCGCTAAAGACGGACGCTGTGCCTATGGCTTGTGACATGAGAGGAAATATTCATAGTGCGGAAGTTTCGTCGTTTGCGCCACCTGCGGCCAGTGGTCGCCGTGGGACACTGACTTGTCAAGTGGTAAAGTTGAGCGTCACAATTACATGGACACTATTTACATCACCACTACCACCACCACAGTAAACAACGACACTAGTCACGTAGTGGTTAGTCAGCACACAGCCAAAGCAAAGCTAACCTCTCTACTCCTCCCCTGATCTCACACCAGCTGTCGCATGACACCCGAGCAGTGCCGCAAACACAGTTGGATCAGCAACCTCGGGGGACAGCCGAAGGCCGAGCTCAACAAGAGGAACCTGCGGCAGTATATGAGTCGAAGACGGTGGCACACAGCTGTTCATACGGTCACCGCTCTCCGACGCATGGGGGCAAACTTATCTGAGAGGAGGGAACCCACCAACCAAGAATTCGTCAAGACGAAGAGCAGCAAAGAACTGTGTGGTCTGGAGAAGGAGTTCCTTTCGTCCTCGGGTTTTAGCCATTCCAGGAGTGCCAACGAATTGCAGAGTCTGGAATCGCCGACGACAGAAGCTCCATCGCGCCTTGCCCCGGTGGCTGAGAAGGAGGCCGAGAGCTCATCTCCCAGTTTAGGAAATCAACCAAGATCAAGTTGTAAAAATTCAAAAACTGCTAATGACAAAGATCCACTAACTGCACAGCCAAGCCAAGAGCAAAAGGAAAGAGAACTGCTTTACATAGAAGCAGAGGAGGCATTGCGACGGATGGCAGGTCAGATTCCATCATCAGAACCGTCTAAATCAGTCTGTTCGGATGACCACAGACAAACGAAGCAGAGAAGGAACGAGTCTCCCCAGTTCAAAGATGCCCCCACATCCATCAAAGAGCGTCGTGAAAAACCGCCCTCACAGCCTGCCCCACGTAGACCCACGTCAGTCACATCCTCGACTCGGGTCCCGCCGGTGTTGGAGCTGGCCCGAAGGAGGTCCTCAGGCGTTACCATCCAGTATCCGTCGACCATCGGCAAGCCACGCCTGGAAGCGGTCGAACAAGCGAAGGTCGGACCGCGCTCGCTCGTCGACCAGTTGTTGGGGCAGTTCAAGGGGATGCAGTCGTTCTCCTTCGCCGAACTGAGAACGACCAAGCGCACGGCTACCCTGGCGAACGCCGTGGTCAGCAAGCCCGTCTTCCAGTTCCGCAAGGGCCGTCCCATCAACAGCGGCGCCGTGCTGGAGATCGCCAAGAAGTTCATGGGCTTCGAGTAAGGCAACGACATGCGGGGAAATTTTGCCCTTCCGGTGTAAAAGGAAAACTGAGTGTAACCCAAATGGCTTCGACTGAGCTTGAATGTACTGTGACGAACGAAGAAAAAAAGACAGTGTGATGGAAACGAATCAAAAAAAGCGATGGACACGGCAGAATGAAACTGCAGCATAGGATAATAGTAATAAAGAATAATAAAGAATATATTTAGTGAATATGGACACTAGGACGATAAATACCCTTCATTGCAGCAGGATGGTACTTATACTTAAAATGAATTTAATCTTAGAAAAGTACTCTAGAAAACATTGAAACTAACATCTAGGTTAGAAAAAGATATCGGTGATTCTGGATGTTCCTTAATTCTTGCTTTTTTTCTTTTAGTTTTTCACATTAATCAAAATTAATAAAGACAGTTAAGAAAGATATTTCGTAACCACGTACAGAAAAATTATCAAATTTTGCGTTTTAACTTGTTTATTTTCCATTTTCCCCCGCTCTATGATAAATATAAATCTAGCTAATATTTGTTCTTCAGTTTCCTATCTGCTGATGCTAGACTTTTCATATGTGAAATGATTTTATGCTCGCTCTCTCTCGCCCAGAAAACAGGTATAAGATAGTTTTCTCTGTATTTTATTTATGTTTTAACGATCTAATGAAAATCCTGCATAGTCCATTGACAATTATTTTTTTCAGTCGCTATAATTTCCATCTTTAGTTCTCCTGTGAAGTAAAAGAAAATCCAGATGCAGTGGATAAACCATCTTCGAATGTGTATATAAAGGATCTGTAGTGACATAGTGCATTTTATGAATGGCATTGACTCCTACTTTATGAATGACTATAGTAATTATGTTGTTGATATTTTTTCTTATCATTTATTTATTATATGTTGCTTTAGGGTCACTGGAGCTTTTCTTTTAAGTTTTTTGAAACAATTGAAAACCAAAATGAAAATATATATAACATGTGTTCTTTTTTATGTTGAGTTCGTTGTTCGCCAATCCTTATATAAATTATGATGTTTCTTTCGTAAATTGGTTAGCGCCAATAAATTATTGTACATGAATTTTTCATGAATAAAGCATTATTCTTATTGCTGTTTTTATTTATCGAGACATCATGCCTTTTTTTCTTATTATGGTTTCTATATCGAGACCAGGCCTTTTTTCTTATCAGGGTTTTTATATCGAGACCGTGCCTTTTTCTTATCGCTGTTTTCTTTATCGAGACCGTGCCTTTTTTTGTTATCTTGGTTTCTTTATCGAGACCAAGCCTATTTCTTATCTTGGTTTCTTTATCGAGACCATGCCTTTTTTTCTTATCGTGGTTTCTTTGTCGAGACACTCGTCCCAAATAGTAACTACGATTAGAGATCGATGACTTATTGAACCATAACATCATTATAATTTTCGTTGATAATTGTAGATGCTACTGCTATCCTTACCATTGGCAGTAGAATTAGGATAATTATGGTTATTTGACATTAAATTGTGGTGTCGAGTAGTTTCATTTTGAAAGTGATGATTACTATCATTATAAAAGATATTCTAATGATCACTGATATTACCAATTTCAAGATTTACTGTTGTAGCTTTAGTCATTAGTACTTTCACGGTAAAGGTTAATGTTATGATCGTTAATATTATTAATTCTTCTCCTCTTTTGTTTTAACTGTTTCTTCTGTTCCTATCAGCATCATAATGATTTTTGTTATCATTATTGTAAAGAGAACTGTCAACATTGTTTTTACTTTTTTATTTTGTTTATCATTGTTGATGTTTTCGTTCGTAATTATTCTCGTCAATAGTATTGCTGTCTTTTTGTTATGATCATTGGTATCATTATTGTTGTTGTTGTAATTATTATTGCTAACATAGTTTCTACTAATATAGTTATTATGGTCATGATTATTTTTTGTTGTTGTTCTCGTTAATATCATCATTATTATTATTATTACTATTTGTATTACTATTATTACTTTGACAGTTTTCATATATATTTTTGTTAGGATTAATATTATCATTTCATTATCATTAGCATTAGTAGTATCTTCGCATCATTATCAACAGTATTGTTATTATTATTATCTATATTATCATTATTATTATCATTATTATTATTTCGTTATTACTATCATTATCAATATTATTATATCTTACCTTCGTGCTTACTGTAATTATCATTATCGCTATTACCATTTATCATCAACACATTACCATCACCATTATCTTCATATTATTATTATCATCACCATCAACATTGTTTCTATTGATGTCATTGTCATCATCATTATCATCTTATTGACTTCCATCACAATAATTGCAATGCTGATGATAATAACGTTGATAAAACTATATTCCTAGTAACGATATGAAAAAACATGAGAGGAAGAGTGATGGTGATTAACGAAAAAAATAGTAATTATAAAAAAAAATAACCACTTTAGTAACAACGATTACTGAGGATAACAGTAATGACAACCAAAGTGATACAATATGAAACAATAGTGAAATCTAGCAGTTACAGCAGTGAGAGCATATGCATAGTTAATTGCTGAATGATGATTTTCGGAAAACAAAGGGAAACCAGCCTACATTTTTTTCGCATCTTTTTGCAAGTCACTTTAACTCTTCTTTAGAATAAACCTTTTCAGCGCGAATCCAAACGAACAATACTACCAATACGATATATCACTAAAGTCTTTACAGAAACCAACTCACACACTCACCCCTTGAACGTTCTTATGAACAAGAAGGAAGTCTAACCTGTTCACCCGAAGTGTTTTCCCTAAATGTTAATGCCATGGAAACCTCATTGTGAAATGTCAGATGCCAGGAATGGAAAGTTCATCCTTGGACAGCACTTTGCTTGCCATTTAACTTTGCTTTCACCGAAGAAGAGGGGGGGAGGGGAAGGGAAGAGGGAGACATGCGGCTCGATTGCAATAGGTGAGTTCCCACGATGTGAGTCAGCTGGCCGTTTATATATATATATATATATATATATATATATATATATATATATATATATATATATATACATATATATATATATATATATATATATATATATATATATATATAAAGAACACACATATGCATATATACATTCATATATATGTATATATATATATGTATATATATATATATATATATATATATATATATATATATATATATATATGTATATAAATATATAAATATATATATATATATATATATATATATATATATATATATATATAGAGAGAGAGAGAGAGAGAGAGAGAGAGAGAGAGAGAGAGAGAGAGAGAGAGAGAGGTCTGGGTGCGGCTGCTCAAGTTCCTCGGACGTGAAACCCGCGGGGACGTATTGGGGATCCTTAGCCTAAGCGGTAAAATTGAAGGTAAGCAAGCTCGAGCTCGCGTAGGCCAAGAAACACTGCTTGGCACTTTCAGTAGGCCAACACTTCAGTGCCTCCGGGACAGAGCTCGACAACATGATATATGGCGCCAAGTAGTTCGTCAAACGCCGCATCGGTGATGGAACAAAAATATAATAAATGATATGCATATATGTATATATATACACAT